TATATTTTTATATATATATATATTTGTAGTATTTGATGTGTTTAGGGGATCTATGCTGAAATCATATGATAGCCCATTAAAATTTTGCCAAGAATCTTTTAGGCTCTTGGAGAGCAAGTGAGTGCAACGTCATGCAAGCGGCTGAGAGCATCACTAACCTTCATGTCACTCGTACAACTGACATTGAACAGTCTGACCCAGTCGGTGTTAGCGTTTGCAGGGTCATGTCCTAAACATCTGCAGTTGAAGAAACACAGCATCAGTAGTACCAGATCATTTCACATAGTAAATGTAGGGCAGAGTAAAGCAGTGCGATAGCAATAATCATCTGTAGATGTGGCAAAGTCTTTTTTTTCCTTCTAAAAAACCACTGCTGAGTTCTCAGAGCAGCCAGATGTTCAAAGAAGTAATCTTATTTTTAAACATATGGATTGGCATTTTGCAATACCATAAAATAACCTGGAATTCAACTCTGCACCTAAACCATTTTGGCCTTTTTTTATAAAGTGACTTAAATGGAGCATTAGTGAATAAAAGAGCAAATTAAAACAATGCTTGCATGTTAAGAGGGGAATGTCTTTATCAAATTAGAGAGCACTTTCTAATTTTTTTCCTGGTTTTAAAATAAAAAAGAACTTAGGTTAATACATTTTTGTATGGGGTAGACTACATGAATTACATGTTAAACATATAAATTCTTGTTTCTTTGCCATGAACTCCTGTGGCACATTGTGGATATTGAATAACTGTTGTGCTTTAGCCTGATGAAAAAGTTAGCAATTGAAGAAATAATTACGTGTATATTCCAGTTTAAGTTTTTCCTGAGGTTCCAGACTCACATTTATTGAAGATTATTGTAGGAAGAGATGTTTAAATGCGTTAAACGTGCTGTTTCAAACTGTAGTATTTTATTGCCCAGGCTGAAGATGAAATTACTGTTTCTTCCCTTTTTAGATCACGTCTCTGTTGGAGGGCTTGGGGATAGCTTTTATGAATATTTGCTCAAGGCATGGCTGATGTCGGGCAAGACAGATGAAGAAGGCAAGAAAATGTATTATGATGCTGTTCAGGTAAATAAGATATTTAAATCTTCCTTTCCATAATAATCTAATCTATAATAATCCTAAAGACAGGCTCTGGGGACAGTGTGAGGAATTTATGTCTTTGCCACCACAGTGTGTTTTTTTCGAAGAATTAGTTTCTCTTTTAAAAATACTTCATCAAATATAAATACTAGAGGAATACAGATACTGTGGGAAAGTGGAGAGTCTTGAAGTATAGCTATTTTTTTCCAACTGAAAGTCAGTTCTCTTTAATGCTGGAGGAGAAAAGCATAAAATATGCAACAAAAAATGCATGTACAAATAGCTCTCAGGTAGAAGTTCAATTCTTTTTTCCTCAGCTTTCCCTAAACATATTCTTTCTGTCCTTTTTCCTTACATCCAGGAGGGGGTTCCTTTCTTGTGTTTTGACCTCATATTTCAGCCATTAGAGTATTTTGATTGTGGTCAACACAGGGATCAATATATTATGGTAGATAATTATAAATGAAAATAGACATTTTTGTTGCACAATGACGTTTTGTTACAAGAGGCATATATTTGCCAGCTTCTGTGAAACAGCCCGTTATTCAAATTGGACACAAAAAAAAGTTTTCCAAAATCAGAAATAATGGTTTTGTGACACTGGATTGAGACTCAGGAAGTATTAAGTTTAAATCCCTATTTACATGCTTTCTTTGCAGTCGTGGGCAAATGACCTATTTTCTCAGTTCTTTGCTTTCAAATATATATAAAAAAGAGGATACTATTACTTCTTTTTTCCCCATTGTTTCATCTGTTTTGACTGGAAGCCTTCTAGGGCCAGGACTTTTATCTCTTATTAACTGTATGTATGTACAGTGCCTCTGTAGACAAGGCTTCGAGCTGCTAAGCAATATCTGCTTATCCTTTCATACATCTGGAAATTTGCTGTGCCTAGGGAAGAGACATAAGTCTCCTTTTACTTCCCACACCAAAAAAAGTGGTGGCATTAAAAAAATGCAGCTATGGCTCACTGCAGCTTTTTTTTCATTAGAGAGAAGAGTCATATGTGGTGATTTGAGGGAGGGTGTGATCTCTGGTGGTAGTAAATTTGACAACCAAGTAAGTATTCTTTGCTAAGAAAACCCTGCCTTCAACTTTGTACATGCAGATTTGGATGCAGTCAGCTCCATTTTCACCACTGACGTGGTTTCAGCTTTGGAGCAAAAGGTGGCTTTTAAATCGGGTTTGAGTGCATTTGAGGCTATAACATAAGAACAGTGATACTGTAATAGCTCAGCCATTAGGTTGGCAGCCAAAAAGAGAGAACAAAGTGTCTGATAATACAATATCAATTCATCTTACCATGGAAGGCATTTTGAAGCACCTCAAATCTGCTTCAGTCTTCTACTTCCACTGGTTTAATAATGTCAGGTTTTTCTTTTAAATACATTCTTACACAGGGTAAGCGCTAGCGCATAGACGCAAGCGGTAAAAAATGTGCTTTTGCTAGTACAGTTATTCTGGAAACCGCTGCAGGTAGAATATCCCAAATGTGGTATGACGGTCACCCTTGTCGGTGGGACTGAGCGCATTTGACTCCCGTCCTGCCCGGGAGCAGCAGGGGCGCGTTGATCCCAGCCGGTAACAGAGTCCGAGAGAGCCCAGCGTCTCAATGGCCGGCGCTGGGCTGCTCCTGCTGAGGCTGAAGATTCCTCTTCCCCCGACTTGAGCACAGCTGGAGCACGGTACCTCAGGAAGTCTGTCTTGCCGTATGGCACACGAGCGGGTGTGCCGTCCCATGTCAGCTGGACGATGGCAGCGTGCCTGGGTCACTCCTGAGCCAGCCCAAAACTGCCCAGCTGGTGGAGAGCTGCCTGCTGTTGGCTGGCCATCGGGGAGTAGGGCCAGGAGTGCTCCAAGGTGTGTCCGTACGGGGTGCAGCAGCACGGCTTTGTTTAAACTCACACCTTAGCTATAGCGGGATAACAACCGCCTCGGGTATGGCAGGTGTCGTAGGGCCCCTTCGTAGGCACCCTGAGGTCCCGGCGAGGAGCAGAAGTGGTGATGGCCACCACACTGCGCAGCCGGTTCTTCCTGCCTCGGGATTGAGCCGGGGGAGCAGAACTGCCCGGTCAGCAGCATCACTGAATGTGGCAATATCAATATCTGAGCTCTGCTGTCTATGACTAGCTTTAAAGTACCTATTATCTTAATATTTTTCAGTAGTACTAGCTCTTAAGCAGTCCAAGCATCGTGTCTGTCCAGACTATCAACGTTTGAGAGGTCCAAGTGATCGCTAAATAAGTGCTAGATTTCGCTGTCCTGCTGGCTGAACGCTATTCCCAGTATTTTCTGAGCAGTGGCGTTCATGTTCTGTTTTCTATACCGAGGTACATCTGTACCAAAGCTGGAAGTGTACATGCAGCATGTGGAGGTACAGCTTGATGTTGTAATGTAGCTTGTTCAGAAAACAGTAGGGAAGTTGCAGTCTCACCGAAACTGCAGACTGGTTGGGCCCCATTGAGATGCTAGGTTCTTCACCAGAATAACTAGCCTGTTTGGAAATCCATCCTGATACTGGCTTTATTGCTATCGATCCCTTACTTATCTAAATTAAAGCTAATTTAAGTGTCTGCACAAGCTGCAGTCTTTCTTTATGACTAAGCCTACACGGTTTGGGCATTCTGAGTCTGCTTCGTATTTTCTTAGATAAATTTCCCCTGACACTTTCAGAATCTTTTTAAGACTATGCCAAGGGGAACAGCATGATTATTCCTGGCCATTCAGTCCAGCACATACCCACCAAACTCTGAAAGAGCAATGCGAAGGTTTGGTGCCTAATTCAATATCTTCTGCTATCCAGAAACCACAAATGAAAATATATGGTGTTATAGTTCACTGTGAAAAGCTGAAATTTATTTAGATAAAGCTTTGGGGTTATTTCTTACGTTGTTCTGTAACCCATATTAGAGTTCTTTCTATTAGAATTTTCGTAGCGTCTGTAGATTGTTTCATGGCTTAAGTTAAAAGCAATAACTAAGATGTCAAACTAGATTTTAAAAATTTTTCTGCATGCCATGAATAAGATGTGTATTTGACTGATGCCATGTAAAGAAGAGTTTATTTGTAATGGGAAAAGGGACAGAGATAGTCTTGAATACCAGAGCATAATATGAATGTATTTATAAGGCCATCAGAGGGATTCATAAACTCTAGAATTTGCACAAAAAGACCAGTGAATGTATTTTTAATGTAAGTTATTTTTCTCTTTTGAAAAGCAATGCATATAATGTCCTGTTTCACATAATACAGGAAGTAAGAGATCTTCTTAAACTGGATTCAATGGAAAGCATGCAACATTTAGTTACAGAACAAGCATGTATTCAGATTTTAGTCCTATTTTGAGGGTGTGACTGGCCATAGAATAATCTATCAGTCTTTGCAAGTATCTAGGACAGGAACCATCCCATTCTCCTTAGTTATCACAGTTAATCTCTGAGACACAACTGGGCAGGTTTAGTAAGAGAACATGATAATTTAGAGCAAAAATGGACCTTCTGGGTTCACTTATGTCTAGTCTAGCAACAGCAGTGTCACAAGCAACTGCATCAAATCCTCCCCTCTTAAATGTGTCAGCCTTCATTTTCTAAGGTGAAGGGCAGTTTTCCCACTACTCCTGTTAATAGGTTGTCTCACACTTGAGGTCTGATGGTTAGGTATCTTTTCCAAATTTTCCCATTACATTTATTTATGGCCATTGCTGCAAGCTTTCTGCATCTTAAATATTTCTTCTCTCTGTCTGGCGCTGCCTTCATCCCCTCCTCAGTGTATTTCTAGAGTAGTGGCATATCTGAAGGCTGTAAAGAGAGCAGTACTGAGCCCAGAAGAACTTCACAGGAAGAGGGAGAATCCCTTGCCAGCACTTTCCAAGCAGCTCAGTTCACTGCAGCCCACGGTGGCCCCGTGGTATCGGAGACGTAAAGCTGCTGCAATCTGCAGTTTTACCTTTAGACAGGGTAGTTTACTTTTAGACATTTGGAATGTTTAATTTTTCTGACTGGGTAACAACTGCTCAGAAGATTGTAACAAGAAAACTAGTGATCTCCAGAGAAACTAGCACATGGAAGTAGAAACGATGGAAATAGCAAAAAGAAGAATAGGTCTTGTCAAGCAGTGCCACGGCCGTTCTCTGCCAGATTTCAACAGTGCTCCTAAAAGTCAGCCTGCTGCTAGGCTGGGTTGCACGATTAAGGAGTGCAGTAGCCTTTTGTGGGTATCAAAAGGGGAAAAAGTCATTTTTGGCCTTGGGATTTTGAGTATTCAGACAGAAAATATATAGGATCACTTTTAAATTTTTTATAGGGTTTTTTTTTGGCACATTGCTGACTTTTGAGACTAGCCTTGATATACTCAGTTTGTACTCTGCCAAAGGAAGCTATATGGTTTTGATTTTGTTTGGGGGGGGGTGGTATATTTAATTGTCAGCATTAAGTAGTGAATATTTTTCAGAACTGTCGAGATTTCAGCCTTTCAGATAAATAAAACAAATCCATGTAGACTCCTTTCTCATTGAAATGAGGGAGAGAACAAAGTGGTGTTAGCAGACTGAATATATGATATTGGCAGATAGGCCCTTTTCATTTCCAGAGTTTCATGAGGGTCTGTTTAACTGTGGTGACAGTCTGGTGGCTGGTCTGTGCTGATTGCAGTTTTCATTAAGTTGCTTGAAGTGGTTTGCTTTGTGATAGTAGTGATCTTAAAAACTGCATAACTGATGTGGACAACGACAGAACTGCAACAACTCAATTAGAATAGTTTGTCATACAGGGTAAAGCCAAAAGCGTATTAATGAATTGAACATTCATTACTTGAGCACTTCTTGGCATTGAAGGAAATACGTAAATAGGGCAGGCAGGGTGGTGCAATAGGAGCCCATCTTCAGAATAAAACAGTTGGTGCAGGGGACCCAGCATTCCCACTGCATGTATTTTTTTTTTGG